TTTTATTTTTTAACTATAACATACGCCTACGGAGAGTCATAAATCTCAAAAACCAACCTGTGTGTGTTTTCAGGAGCGGCTGCTTTCTCCGGGGCCGTGACACACACACTTTCTCCTGCCCTGCTGGCGGTGGAGATGACCGGTCAGTGTTCCTATGCTGTTCCCGCTCTGGTGGCGACGCTCGTGTCCAATGCTGTGGCTCGGGCTAAACACAGGCCGTCTTTCTATGATGGCATATCGCTTATTAAACGGCTCCCGCACCTGCCGTCTCTAATCCGCGCATGTCCGAAGTGAGTAAAGCGTCGATCAATCATCTGCCTTCAGGCGCCGGTGGAAATTAAACTGCATTTTTCTTGAGGTGACACTGCCTCATAGTGCTTTCTGCCATTCATGATTCTGAGGGGAGACATGGTTTGAAATCAGAGTTAATCATAGGCTGTTTTATGTTCGTAAGAGATACTGTGACTCTTTCATTGTGGCGATGTCACTGCCATTGCATTCATATCGCAATACATGTAGCAGAAAGACCGCAGTTAAATGAGGGATGTAAACAATAACAGTGGTCCTAATCATTGACTGTATAAAATGTATTTCCTGCATTTTGTTTTTAAGTTCCATACCTTCCAAAAATCCCAAAAGGTCCACATGTTAATAAATATGGCAGCCATTTTATCATTAAGATGTGATTAATGTGTTGTGGACCTTTTGGGGTTTTTGGAAGGGATGGAACTTAAAAACAAAATACAGGAAATACATTTTTTACAGTCAATGATTAGTACCACTGTTATTGTTTACATCCCTCATTTAACTGCGGTCTTTCTGCTATATGTATTGTGATATGAATGCATTTTCACATGGTTTAATAGCATTCTTTGGGAAATAAATCTTGGATTAGGGCAGATTATGGTGATTTTTGTAGGGGAATTTATCAAGGATAAAAAAAACATAACAAATATCAAGTAAAAATAAAATATTGGTTTTCTGGAATGTCAAACAGTACTCAGAAATCCAATAATAAAATGTAAGGTAAAATAACAATGTACAGGCTTCATTGTATAAATAATTAAGTATTTGTTTATTAAAGTTACAAAAGTTGTACTTTTTTTGTGCCGGAATGCTTCAATTTTCCGTGAAATGCAAATTAAAACATTCAAAACCCTTTAAAATACATGCAAATGATAAACTTTATCTCTGTTTTGGTTAAACTTTGGAGTTACTCCACAATTCTCATGCATGCTCAAATGGTGCTGATCAACTACAACGCAACGTTGCATATCCTGTGATGTGACTATTGCGGATGAGCACATTGCGATATTGAATTTTTTTTTTTTAAATTAGCCTTTTGAAAGGCTGTACTTTCTAAAAATTAATAATAAATTGCCAACAAATTCAAGATAAAGGTGCAAACAAATGCATTCTGTCAAAGATTGATTCTATAAATCAACCTTAATATTCAACAATAATATTGCAATAATATTGTCATAATATTTTTTATTAATATTAGTCTAACTAACCAAATTAGCTAATTGTTCAAATTTAAGTATCTGACATAAAACATAAAAATGTCAAAATTAGATAAAACTTGCTGAAGAAAGGTAAAATGCATCTAGAAATTAGTTTAATGGGGGAAGTGATGATTCTACAAATAATTTTGTAATACATTTTTTTAAAGCTCTAGATGTTTCTAAAAGGTGGTTTTGTGCATTTTCTGCAAAAAACACTAAGTGTCTCAAATTAATTAAATTTGTGCAAATTATCACATGACTAGTGCAATTTTATGCAGTTCAGCACTATGAGACAATAATGGCTACATTACTGTCAATTCCAAAACAAAATAAAACATGCTAACAAAGATATTTTGTGAAGTTTTTTCCAGTATTATACAAATTCACAATTATTGTTGAATGTGATCATAGAATATTGATGGCAACAACAGATAATAAGAATAATAAAGAGAAAGTTAAATCATGATCCTCCTGCTGGATAGTAAATTGTTTTGCTCATGAATTCTCTCCCGCAGGTTGGCCGATGTTCAGATTAAGCAGTTTGTGATCCCAGCAGGAGCTGTTCTGGAAAGGAGCGAGAAGCTGATAAGTGTTCAGCACATCCTAAAGGAAAGCACAGACTCTGAACTACCTGTGGTGGAGTCACGCGGTGAGACTAACTAATATCAGCAGCTCAAGCACACAATCTCTGCTCTTCACTTTAACACCTCAGTGCTCCACGGCAGAGAGAGTGAAAGCCAGGGCAATGGGTGTCGATAAGAGCCAAAGGCCAAATGACTGGGTGTTGATGAGCAAAAATACAGAGAACGTTCAGCACAGAACTGTACAGTGATGGTGCTTTTGAAGAAAATGAGGCTGGCGGTTTGAGAATGTGATTTACTTTTTCTCTTGTCTCCCAGACTTCTCTGTTCTCCTGGGCACAATCAACAGATCGCAGTTGCGCGAGTGTCTGCTTGAGCATAGAAATGAGGTAATTGAGCTTGTAATGTGCTGAGTCATAACAAGAATTGTGCAAAGTTACTGAAAGAATAATGAAAAATAATGAAATGAAAATGGAAGGATTTTAATTCAGAGACTGGATTCGCAGCCAGTGTTTTTAAAATGGTACCAGCAAGCAATTTTGTCCTGCTTGGTGTCCTAAAAATTTATGAAATTTGAGGCCAGATGGTGTTAACAAATAACATCTTTGAATAATAGTTTAGTAAATGTAAGGACTAGCATTTGAAGACTGAAGAAATACCTTAGAATTATGTTTCCTTGTTAGGTCAACTAAATTATTTACGTTTAGATTTTTTAAATGTAAACATGCAAGACAAAAGTTTTTGGATGCCAATGACTCTCAGATATAATTATCCTCATTAAGGTAATATATTTATTTGAATCTTTTAAAAAAGTATTCACATTGGTTGATATTATTATGATATTTCAATAAAAATATTTAATATAAAAATATAAATATACATTTTTATTACATATAATTAAATAATTTATTTTAATCTTGTACTCTTAACTTATGTTCTCCAAACATTTCCAGACACCAGCAATCATTAACTTATTTAGTAAATATGACTGGCATGATGGTTGTGCTTTATTTACAATTTAAAAATTAAAGTTATATACAGTTGAAGTCAGATTTATTAGCTCCTTGTTTATTTTTTTCCCAACTTCTGATTAACGGAGAGAAGATTGTTTCAGCACATTTCTAAACATAATAGTTTTAATAACTCATTTCTAATAACTGTTTTATTGAATCTTTGCCATGATGAAAGTACATAATATTTGACTAGATACATTTTCAAGACAATTCTATACAGCTTAAAGTCACATTTAAAGGCTTAACTAGGTTAATCAGGTAGGCAGGATAGGGTAATTAGGCAAGTTATTGTATATCAATGGTTTGTTCTGTAAACTATCGAAAAATATAAAGCTTAAAGGGGCTGATGAATTTGACTTTAAAATGTTTTTTAAAAAATTAAAAACTAATTTTATTCTAGCTGAAACAGAACACATAAGACTTTCTCCACAAAAAAAAATATTATCAAACATACTGTGACAATTTTTTTGTTCTGTTCAACATCATTTGGGAAATATTTTAAAAAGAAAAAATAATTAAAATGGGGCTAATAGTTCTGACTTCAACTGTATGTTTAGAACAACATAAGGGGAATAAAATAGTAATTATCAATTTCAAATTTAGAATGGTCCTTTAGTAGTTCTTCCCATAACTGTAACGCAGTGAGACCTGTTAAAATGGTCACATTGTCCTTCTAGTTCACACATCTGCATCATTAGCATTAACACTACTGGCAGGGGGACCAACCTCAAACATTTTACATAGACCACAAAATTGCTAGCAGCATCCCTGAGTTCACACAATGAAACAATTAGAACGGCCAGGATAGATGCGTTAAAGTCAAATCACTGACTTCCAGTGGCGGTCAAATTTGCATTCTCAACAACTTCATCCTACTCGACGTAACACATTCGTAGCACAAGCAGGAACCACTTACCATAGTTTGTTTACAACAGAAGAGGACGAAGAACGAGAAAGCTAGTTTGCTTGGCAATACTGCGTGATTTTATACCGCATATTACTATTACAATGCCACGACTGTTCCCAAAGCTTCTACTACAACTGTGGAAGCTATGACTGTCATACTTTCGAGTCAAAGAAAGTTGTCCCCAATGTGCATTCAGCAGCATATAAGTCAGTGATTTGAGTCTTTAATTTAATTTTTTTTAAAGTTTTGTTTCAAAAACACATCAATTTGCTTCATAAGGATCCATTAGAAGTTTTATGATGGATTGATGCCTTTTTGGAAAAATGCTACCTAACACCATTAAGTGTGGTTTGTTTATAAACTAATTTCGAGATTAACGCATGCTTATGATGGATCATGGCTGGTCCCGCATTAGCTAACTCAAGATCCACCAATCAGATGAATCCTAACTCACTATAAATAGCCAGAGTTTCTCAGCTCAGTCATCTTCGTCTTCAAGAATCCCTCATTCCTCCCCTACTACTCCTTCCTTTAAATAGGTAGGGCGGCACGTCAGCCCAGTAGTTAGCACTGTTGCTTCACAGCAAGAATGTCACTGGTTAAGAACTTACCAGGCCATTCGACATTTCTGTACAGACTACAGGTTCTCCCCGTGCTCATGAGGGTTCCCCAGTTTCCTCCCACCATCCAAATAATTGTAACATAAGTAAATTGACTAATCCAAAGTGGCATCATAGATGAACTCTTAGTCAGCTATATCTTATAACATTTCCAATCTCAAAGCCATAACAAGCAGGGGAGTTCTCGAGACCTACTTGAGCTTAAGCTCTCTTCTCGCCCTGCAAATGGGAGTAAGCCCCGTGCTCGAGGATCTTCTGAGCTCAGGGCTCTCTCTCCCAGGACAGCATGCCAAACACATTTTATTGTCAATCATCAGCTAAGTGTGAACTCTTGAAACAGCACAAAAGAGCCGGGATACAATTAGGAACACTACTGTGGTTGTGTTATATATACATCAATGATGTACATCAGTCATACACACCAATGATGTCTTGAGGGTGAGATAAATTATGGGGTAATTCTCATTTTTGGGTGAACTGTTTTTTTAATCATCCACTTGCATGAAACAAATGCAAAGAATTCTCAGCGACAGATATGGTGTCTTTAATGTTAATTTAAACATTTACTAAAACATTATAAATGTTATTTTAATTTCTGTTAGTATTACTGAATGGATTTAGCTAAGAAAGTTGCACCTGGAAGCTTCTCTGCATCACTAAATCTTCTTGCAGGATTCATGTAAACAGCTTGAAGAAGTGTGTTGTGTTCAGCCTGTGCGTCTTCATCTGACTCCTGACAGCACAGTAAAGCAGGTGTGCAGTGAGAATCAGCTTACCACTATTATGTTTCCTTCACATTATCTCCATGTTTTGTTCCGGTTTGCCTCGACATGATGAGTGCTTGTGTGTGTGTGTGTGCGTGTTCTGTCAGGCTCATTGCATCATGAGCATCACGGGTGAGCAGCGTCTGTTTATAACAGAGAGTGGGCGACTGTGTGGCGTCATCACATGGAAAGAGGTGACAAGAGCAGCCTGCAAGAACAAACATAAACACATCCACACACACATCTATACTCCAATCAAATACACCAATGAACACAGAGCTCATACATTACAATTCATTATAAAATCTGATTTTTCTTCCAGATGAAAAAAATTATTGAAGAGATGGCAAAGGAGGTCTGATGAATAAAGGGTGCATCAATTTGCGCTTGTCATTTTAATTCTATAAGTTGTTTACTGAAAATAAAAGTCAAACCTTCTGAAATGGCCAGTTTTATAATCAGAATTGTGAATGGTTTCCAGCCTGTCCAGTTCTCTTTGTTTGTTTAGTACTTTCTCTCATGTTATTTTGTGGATGAATTGGATTCCTTGTGGACTATTCACTTATTTTAAATTAAAATAAAGTTAAAAGCTACATTTAGATCCTCTTGGCGAATCCTTATTTTACCTCATTGTAGCGTACAAGTACACCCACAGGCCACTTTACTAGGTACACCTTACTAGTACTGGGTTGGACCCCCTTCAGAACTGCCTAGATCCTTCATAGCACAGATTCAACAAGGTACTGGAATTATTCCTCAGAGATTTTGGTCCATATTGACATGATAGCAGCATGTAATTGCTGCACAACCATGATGTGAATCTTCTGTTCCATCATATCCCAAAGGTGCTCTATTGGATTTATTGAGATCAGGGGCCTCATGTATCAACGCTGCGTACGCACAAAAACTTTGCGTACGCCAGGTTTCACGCTCAGAATCGCTCACGTTTGGATTAACTAACAATGAACTGAACGTGGGAATGTGCGCAGCTTCACGGCAGCTTTATGGCTGGCGTACGCACATTTTTTGTGCGTGTCTGTTTTATTTCCATTGGCGACTCCTAGAGGCAGTTGTGTTAAATTCCTCTCTACAAAGTGTCTGAGCCTTGCAATCGCAGCTGTATGAGACGGGTTCACCTAGTAGGTATATAAGGTTTCCATACCATACAGTTGACCAGCTAAACATTAAAGCACAATTTGCAGCAGTCGCCTGTTTTCCCAATGTAATCTGAGCTATCTACTGCACACACATTGCTATAAAGACACTATCTGAAGATGAATTTGCATGAGTGAATCAGAAACATTTCCATTCAATAAATGTGCAAATAAAATATGATGCACAAACTTATTAATGATTCCTACTTGTCTTTCTCGTGATAAATAGTGGGCAAAATCTGATATGTAGCGGGGAAAAAAAGAAGAAAGAGTTCATTAGACGCTGGATTCAAGCCGACTTTATGCTCGAACGTGTCAATACATGATCACATGCGTCTTACGAGGTGCGCCACTTAGACTGCTAAGGGTACTGCAACATTTTACAGCTATAAACCACACTGTTTCTTTTTTTAATGCACTCAGTGCGATGTTCAGACCCAACTGTGTTAACCGCATCAGCTAAACTCTCCCACTCTATTTTTTTCTTTTGTTGTTAATTCCGGAGAACAAACTTGCAAATAACACCGCTTTTCTCCGGTCTACCTCCGAAAGCAGCACCTCCATTTCACATTCCGTTCAAAGTTTCTCATTTTGCTTGATTTTGCCATTGCTTTTTCGTTGGGTTTTGCCATTAGCATAGTCATTTGCATATTCATACGGGGGAGGAGGCAGGGAGGGGTTTTGTGCTCGTGCATGTTGCGCTCAGTTTCACGTTCATTCGGATGTACAAAAGAATATGCGTGAGATTCGGCGTTTCATACATCTGAATTTTTTTCTGCGTACGCACATTTACAGCTTTGTGCGTACGCAATGTTTTAGTAAGATTTCCACGCAAGTCTTTGTACATGAGGCCCCTGGTGACTGTGGAGGCAATTTAAATACAGTGAAATCATTGTCATAATCAAAAATCCAGTCTGAGATGATTCGCGATTTATGACGGTGCGTTATCCTACTGGAAGTAGCCATCAGAAGATGGGTAAACTGTGGACATAAAGGGATGGACATGGTCAGCAACAATAGTAGGCTGTGGCATTGACACAATGCTCAACTGGCACTAATGGGTTTAAAGTGTGGCAAGAAAATATCCCCCACACCATTACACCACCACAAGACTGAACCATTCATACAAGGCAAGATGGATCCATGCTTTTTGACCCTACCATCTGAATGTTGCTGCAGAAATCGAGATTCATCAGACCAGGCAACGATTTTCCAATCTTCTATTGTCCAATTTTGGTGAACCTGTGCGAATTTTAGCCTCAGATTCCTGTTCTTAGCTGACAGGAGTGGCACCTGGTGTGGTCTTCTGCTGCTGTAGCTCATCCGCCTCAAGGTTGGACGTGTTGTGCATGCAGAGATGCTCTTCTGCATACCTCGGTTGTAACGAGTGGTTATTTGATTTACTGTTGCCTTTCTATCTGTTCGAACCAGTCTGGCCATTCCCCTCTGACCTCTGGCTCCAACAAGGCATTTGCACCCACAGAACCACCACTCACCGATATTTTCTGACCATTCTTTGTAAACTCTAGAGACGGTTGTGTGTGAAAATCCCAGTCTAGAACCAGCAACCATGCCATGTTCAAAGTCACTTACAGTAAATCACCTTTCTTCCCTGTTCTGATGCTCCGTTTGAACTGCAGCAGGTAATTTAGATCATGTCTACATGCCTAAATGCAACGAGTTGCTGCCATGTGGCTGATTAGAAATTTGTGTTAACGAGCAGTTTATGTACCTAATAAAGTAGCCAGTTAATGTATATCCTCATCTTAGAATGAATGAAATTACATTGATGTTAATAAAATGATTAGCTAAAATTAAGGTTGGCCAGGAAAAAATACATTAACTGGACACTTTTACATTATATTAATTTTTAATGAACAGGGATCAAAATGGCTTTAGCTATAGATGTATTTCATTGGTGTCATAGAAATAAGTATTTCTATCTTTACTGAAATGTACCAGCAGAAAATATCAATTTATGCTACAAAACATTCATTTTGGCATTAATCATAATTATCTGTTAAGATTTGACCTTACCATTATACAATCTGTAAAAACATGACGAAAATCAAACTGATACACAGAAAATCTAAAAGAACTTTAACTGGATCTCTAAAATGCTACGAGATCTATCTTAAAAACATTATTCTGCACTAAATGTATTTACGTATGCATATTTTGCTGTCATTGTTGCTTGTTATAGCTGTATGATAATAGTACAGCAATCAATAGCCTTTCCTTCCTAAACACATTTAATCATCTGAATCTCTCAATTTTAATCAAAGCAAATGTCTTTTGTTACTACTTTTTGTACAGATTGTGCTTTTCTAACAATCTTCAGTAAATGGATTTGATATTCGTGAACAGTCATGCAATTTTGGACCAGATAAAAGTAAAAGGTGGACATTTCGGTCCTTAATGTTCCATACTTCTGTCAAGCTGAACCTGTATAATACCATGTACATGTCTAGGGCTCAAATAAAATGAGAAATGGGTTCATAACCTCATACAGCTTGTTAGCTTTTATGAGGCTCGCGCTGGAAGAAAAGAGCAGAACAAAGGCTTCAGTAATAAACAACCTTTGTTTGATTTCTCAACCATCCCAATTCCATCTTTCTTCTCTCATTATTCTTTGATTTTTCAAAGAAAAGGTTTAGCAAGAAGGCATTCCAATTCTCGGTGTATTGTTCCTTAATATATTGCGTTGAAATTGAAATCCAGTTGCAAACACAATTTGAATTCTGCTCAGCAGCAGAGCCTCTATCTCTACAATTAAACGCTCTTTCAAACTCTCGCCTGGAGCACATTATCTGACACACACACAGAGAAGGATCACACTGTGTAAACTTCTATTAAAAGAGCCTGGAGCTTGATAACACTTGACCACTGCACCTCCTAACACCTCTGCATTTACTCTAATCCCCTCTTCCACCTCTTTCCTTGCTTCCCATCTCTCTCTTTCCATCAGCTTTCTTTGTCACTGGACTGTGAATGGGGTTAATTGCGAAGAAAAGGCCAGTGGTTGGAAATCATGATCTGAATATTTGTATGAGTTAATATTAATAAGAGAATAATAATACAGTAATATTTAGTTTGAATTCGAATTTAGGGCCCTGTCATACACCCAGTGCAATAAGGCGCAAGGCGTGTTTACATATTAAATAAATTAAATATTAATAAACCAAATAACTGCTTTAAATGAATAAAAATTTAAATAATTAAAACATATTTATATAATAAATACATAAAAAATAAATAATGTCTTTAATAGCTCATATATCATGTTCTTTTGTAATAATCTGAATATTTTCATGTACATTAATAATAATTTATCATACTTTAGTATTGACCTTATTCTAAAATGCGGAAGTGCGCCTGTTTTCGCGATTGTCTTAGAACTTCCGTTTCAGTCGCCTATAGGAGAAATGACAAGGAATAATAAACGGCAAAAAACGGTCAAACTACTTGCTCTACAAACAAATGTTTGCATGACTATACAGACCAAGTAGAATAATATAACAAGGAAATATCAGTTTGCAACATCAAACAGCGAAACGAGCAGTTTTTAATGTCTAAAAATGAATGGAAGTGAATGAGACCGGAAGTCTTGTGCCAAAAAGGTTCAAATGGCAGCGCAAGCTCGTCTGCGGAGAACAAGGTCAATAAGTTAAACATAGTCAATTTATTCATTCATTCATTTTCTTTTTGGCTCAGTCCCTTTATTCATCTGGGGTCACCACAGCAGAATGAACCGCCAACTTATCCAGCACATTTTTTAGCAGTAGCTGCCCTTCCTCCCATTCACACTCATTCACACACATACACTACGGACCTTACCCAATTCACCTGTACCACATGTCTTTGGACCGGAAACAGGAGCACCCGCAGAAAACCCACACGAACACAAGGAGAACATGCAAACTCCTCACAGAAATGCCAACTGACCCAGCCGAGGCTCGAATCAGCTACTTTCTTGCTGTGAGGCGACAGCACTACCTACTGCGACACCATGTCGCCCCTAAGTAAATTTAATATTATGTTAATTATAATAAACCAATGAATTACTACAAGTAAGCAGGGTTATTTTAGTTATATGCATTAACTATAATCCCCTCTTCCACCTCATCCCTCACTATCTCTCTCTTTCCAACAGCTTTCTTTGTCAGTGGAGTGTGAATGTGGTTAATTACGGAGAAAAGGCAGGCGATTGTTATTCCAGCTCTCGCTCTTTTGTTTCAGACACTTGCAAAAACACATAGGAATTTTCTTGTTAGCAAGCGAATTCTGCAGCAATAGAGATTAGAGATCTTTTTTAGATTAAATCATAATTTCACATACAAAGAACTGCACAAAATGCTGACAATAACGAACACAATATAAAGGCAGCTGAGGTAACACTTTTTTTTTTTTTAGATTTTATACACGTATGTGATTTATAAATGCAACTGTGACCAAATCTTCTTTTAAGCTGAAGTGTGTCGTTTTCATTTAAACTCTGCAGATTAATAATACTAATAATAGTACGTACAGTGCTCAGCATAATTGAGTACACCTAATTTTGAAAAAATTTTTTATCCATTTCTCAGTTAATATAGGCAATGTATTTTGGTGCATTTGAATACACCAGACTTATTAAACAGATAGTTATTAAAATAATATTTTAGTCAACAAACATATTTAGAAATTGAAAAATAATACAATTAAATTCAAGCAAAATATTGCAAAAAATTACAACCTACAAAATTTCAACTACATTTTTTAATTTTTTTTTACTTCTCTTGATTTTTCCTCTTTTTTAAATTTGTATTTAATATTTTTCTTTAACATATACATTTGGGTGTACTTGGTTCTGGACCGTTATTGTAAGTTATTTTGTTTGATAATCTACTGTACATGCACAAATATAATATTGTATTGCTTCCTATTAAAATATTTATTTAAAAGAGAGATTTGTGAAGGTTGTACTCATATATGCTGAGCACTCTATTTTAACATGAGATAATAACAAAAAATAACAATAATAACATGAAAATAATAATAGAAATAAATGTATTAATACGGTTAAAATGAATTTTTTTTTAAATCAATATGAACAATTTTAGTCTTTTAATGTTTTTTCATTTAACTCGAAACAAAAAAAAATGTGTCTCATTAAAATATTCTTTTAAAAAAAGGGTATAAACAAATTGGTCTAAAATTATAATAATAAAATTTTTTATAATAATAATGTCAATAATAAATATCTATTTAAAAAAATTACAAAAGCACAACAAAATTTCTAAAAATGTGTATAAAATTTAAAATAAACACAGAAAACATATACAGCTAATTATTAAAAAATATTAAATAAACCAAAAGATCCCAGCAAGTCAATATGTGTGTGTATATTAACAATACCCCAGTTTTACATGAAGTAAGCCTTTAGTAGGTTCATTAATTTACAATTTTCAATTTAATCATTCATTAATTTTCCTTTAGCCTAGTGCTTTTTTTTATCAGGGGTTGCCACAGCGGAATGAATCACCAACTATTCTGGCATATGTTTTCCAACAGATGCCCTTGCAGCCGCAACCCAGTACTGGGAAACACCCATTCACACACACTCATACACTATGGACAATTTTGTTTACCCAATTCACCTATAGCACATGTCTTTGGACTTGTGGGGGAAACCGGAGGACACGGAGGAAACCCACTCGAACATGGGGAGAACAAGCAAACTCCACACAGAAATGCCAACTGGCCCAGACTGGACTTGAACCAGTGACCTTCTAGCTGTGTGGCGACAGTGCGAAGCACTGAGCCACCATGCTGGCCCTGTAAGTATATATTAAGTAATATTAATATATACTTATTTAAACAATTAAACGTTCAATTAAAAAACATTAATTGATATTAAGAACCATTAACCCAATAAACACATTGATGTTCTGAGATCATTCTGACCATCAAAACAGGCTCATTCAAACACATGAGTAAGGAGCCAATCGCAGATGGTGAGAGACTGTATTTAAAACAGTCAATAATCTGCAGTTTTTTCTCGGTGAGGATAGTAAATAATAAATGACACACTTCAGCCTTAAGAACACGCAGTAGTGTGATGTTGGACATTCAAAAATCTCCATGGAAACATTTAACAATATGAAAAATCTTTAAAATCTCACTGTCCCAAATAATGATGCCAGCTTTGCTCAAAGAGTCCCCACAAAGAGATTCTATTCAATTCCTTCGCCCCATTGAACCATGTCTTAGTGGAAATGCACCCGGAAAAATGTCTGTGCAGATGAAAGCCTCCTTTATTTTGGCTCTTTCTTTTGCAGTCTATAGTGCTAATAGGCCTCCGCTTCTTTTAGAGGGTGAAAGGCTGCTGCAAACATCCACAAACACTCAGCTGGAGGTGAAAGAGCATCAACATCACGTCACCCCTTGGAGAATTTCAGACCCACTGATGCAGAATGACCTTTTACCTTTTTCTAAACCAAACTTGCAATCCAATCTCCACCATTATATCTGCAAACTGGGAAATCTTCATTTGCAAAAAAGGCAGTGTAATACAGAAATAACAAGTCTGTATGTACAACAATTCCTGCTTGCTGAAAAGGCTCATCAGTTCACTGTAGAAATATGTTGCTGCCTTAAATTTTTAAGTTAATTCAAATTTACTTTACAAGTCATTTTAATGTATACAGTTTAATGAAACATAAATCATTGAGTTATATCTATGTATGTATGCATATATATATATATATATATATATATATATATATATATATATATATATATATATATATACACACACATATATATTTATTTATTTTTTACTTATATATAACTGATTTTAGTTTAAGTAGCACAAAAATGTTAGCATGGTTACTAGGGGGCCGTCAGCCGTCATAATGTCAGACTCAACAATGAAGATGCACCAAACACGGAAGAAAACTCCCCTGGAGTTTGATGTCATCCACCTGTGACACTTTCACTATCTCGCATTCTGAAATAATTCCTTACAGCAAACTTAAACAATCTGTAGCTCAATTTTACACACAGCATGCACCAATAATAAAACCAGGAGGAAAAAAACTGACATTTCCCCACGGTCATTTGAATTGTTGCATGGATTGCGTCATCTGATTCAGCTCTCCTATTGGTTCTTGGATTGACGCTCATCCCAGCTGTTGTCACACTGCAGGAAAGTGTCTGAAAACTTCTAACACTGCCAGAACTTCATTGGAGGGAAAATCAAATCACAACAAGCATTAAGCAGCTGTCTGTGAACATGTCAAACCAAAGATCACCGGTTTTAGCCTTGGATTTCAGCAATCATTTAGAATTTCCTAAATTTGTCTCGAATGACAAAATCGTGGCTGAAATCTCAGTGTAAGCAGAAAATGTATAATGAAATCGAGTAAAGGCTCACTGGGACGATTTTTTCTTTCATGCTTATTGTCAGTGTTTATCAAGACGTTTTTCAGCATACCCAAGCGATTTTTTACTATGAGTCGAACATTATCACTCCATAATGTTAGATGGCACTTTTAGGGAAAAAAACAAGACAGATATTCCAATACACAAGATGGAGCTGCTCAACGTTTCACATCTGACACTGTTTGCACAAAAAAGGTTGTCACCTTCCTGAGTTTCATTTCACAGAAAGTTACAAAAAAAGTCATAAAAAAGTCGAGTGAAATGAAAATTATCATTAAATTTGATTTGATCTGCGATTTCTTTGTGCTCAGCTTGACCATATTGTGCTTCAGTCCCACCAAGTCATGTTTTACTGTAATTTCAGCAACTCAAGGCACATGAACAAAAGCATTAATCTCATCGGTTGAACCACAAAGCACTAATCTCATAGTGTCAAACCTAAAAAATGGCTGTTTTTTAGTTTGTTTATCTGGCATCTTACTCAATTGCGCCCTTTGTTTAATCATGAGGCGCAAAATGTCAGTGATAAACACAAGCAAAAATCACAATGGTCACAGACATTAAAGCTGAAAAACTTTCAAGCAAAACGAGACTAGTATGACAGCATAAAAGCAGCAGAGCTTTTATTGTGCCATTGTCGAACACTTTGGTTCTACCAGTCAATATCACATAGAGAAGCAGCAGTGCTGTTTTATCATACTATAAATGCATTTTAGGGTTCTGTTATAATGCTACTCTGTGCAATCTAATACAATGTACAACATAGTAAAGCTCTTTTTAGTTTTCACTGTTTTCTATAAGACTAAACTGGAAATCGAGTGTATGATGTCATTAGCATGGAGACTCGTTCCTTAAAATCACTTATTTCTCTGGATTTGAACGTTTCTAAAACATTTGGGATAATGTAAGTACATAATTTAGTAAAATATATAAAAATGTTCCAGTGTTTTTTTGGATATTTCAACGAGTAAATCTTTTATATTGTGCCTTTAAGTCAGTTAAATGTAAAGTAAGTTACATTACAGTAAGTTAATTTGATAACATATAAACTTAAGCCAGCAACAAGTTCTACAGTGTAGCTTTCTTATACTTGAACGGTAAATCGATAGCCCCAGATGTAACCCAAGCTGCGTACACAAAGAATAGACAAAACCGCAGTCCACAGTATCATCAAAACTTCAGTTATAAAAAACCTCGTCCTCCGAGAGAGAGATGCTGTCAGCGTGTCGAACAGATCCAACCGACGGTGAGATCCTCTGCGCACGCTGTGTTTCTGACGGAGAGTGAGAATGGCTAGGGGAATGAGACTGAGGGGGCGCCAAAGAGCCGGTGTCATCAACATCCATGTGCATCCTGTACAGGTGCTGAGGAACGCCCAAACTCCCTCCATCCAACAGAAACTGAGAGAGATACAGGCCTTCGGCGTCTGTGAACACATAGGCAAAATTGCGAGAGAGAAATGAAAAAGCGATCTTCAAGAAGGGAAATGAATAAGCCATTAAATCCAGACAGATGTAGAGCTCTGATCCGTGAGTCATCGTCGGGGCTCGAATGCATTCATTTCTGTTTTGCAGTCATTTATTCATGCGCCCGACTGTAAGACTCATTAGTACAAGAGTAAAATGTTTTTGCACTTGGCTAAACAGGCCATTTGTTATTATTCGGGGCTTATTAACGCTCATGGGTTCATAATGAGATAACAGGGTTTTTATGTAAGCTGGAACAAGAGTGAGATGAACCAGATGCTGAGAATGACCTCCAGAAGAACCATGCGATGGGAATGTGGATGATATAAATAGTAACAATATATAGTAAAGTATGATGGATATCTTGTTTAATAAAAATTAAGACTGGTTTAGAGCTAGTCTTGTGTTTAGCAGTATAAAGATTGTAGATTTACATCTGCAAAACTGTCCAAAGGTCAGATAAAAGGTCCAGTTCAAAACAAGGCAACCTACAGTAGTTAACTTGCAAGAAACCAGAGAGGTTAATTATTTTACATCTGAAATCATATAAACATATTTTTATTGTTGCTTTATTGCCATGTATGGATGCATGAAGATACTTTATCATCTATGGACACTTCTATTTTCCAAAAGGTGTTTTTTACGGTAGGTTTAGGTTATGCTATGGTGTACAAAATAACTCCAGAACTATACTTATTAAAAGTAAAGACACTATGTTTAAGTAAAATTACAAGCAACTGGCCAACAAAAAACATGCTTGAGCAAAAAAAAGGGGGGAAATAGGTTAAACAATGAGAGAATATTCTTGTTTCATCATAATATGAATAACCTTCTCAATACAAGTTAAATAAACTGCGGAATTGAAATATTCAGTTAGAAAGGCATACAAAAATTATATTATTAAATACGAAAGCAATACATGCAACAGCACACGACAAAAACATACACAAGATAAAACACAAAACACACGTGCAGTAAGTTTTACACCCAATATTTAAACTAGGTATTGCATTCCTTGATCAAAACAAACGCAAGCGCAGGTTGCCAGATTGAGGACCAACAAGGCTGATTTAAATAATGTTTTAAGTAATAGCAATGGCACACGATAGAAAAATATTTTTCCATATTAAAAGGAATTTTTGTACTAACAAACATCTCGAATTGATATATTAGAAACAGCTTCTACTTCTTACAGCTGAACAACAGAAAACTGACAATGATCACCTCAGGTACACCTCATGTGCTTTATTCAGTGTTAAATGCTAACAATGTGAGCTTGAATGCCATTTTACATGACATTTATTCCCATACTACTGAAAGCAGCAGCAGATAGTTCACCTCAGATCTTGAAACTAAAGTAAACCATTTGAAATTGAACTCATAAATTAAAGAATTAAACTGTGACTCACAACAGATAGCCAACACATAGGGATTCAGCATGTACATTTAAAAGTGTTAAAGAAGTTTAATATGTATTAATAAGAGTATAAACCTTACCATTTCGTGAGTGAGTGCATATTCTGTGCTTCTGAATGGCTGTATTTAAATTTTTGTGGTGTTTTGTCTGGTGCAAACAGCCAAATTGCTTATCACTGCAAATCTCATCACGTAGCGTGTTGTTAGGACATGGGGTTACAATGTAACCTGCTCGCCTAATGTTTACGTTTGTAATATTTATATAATTTGCTACTAAATAACCTAATGTGGAACTCCGAATCTGCGTCTCATTTTGGAGTCTGCTACTATCTACCAGAGGTCGCATTTCGGCCACAGACGCATGCTTTCAGAGCATTTCTGAATGGATGAATGAAATACGCGTTGTTCCACAAGGCAACCCAGGGTGCTGAAATATATAGTTGGGTAACTGGCATTGAGCGGGTTAAAAGAACCGAAACAAAGACAGCGTTCCAGCACAGAAAACACATTTTCAAAGCAGAATATCTGACTACAACATTGTTTTTTTTAAGATAAACAAAACTGTTTACTTAACATGTTTCCTAGAAAGCTACAAACATATTATGGTATTTTTATGCTTTGAAAGAGTCAAAAACTTATATTTCAAAAAGTCAAAAAAGTATATTCCATCCATTACACCAGGTGTTTTCAGACTGGGCTCTGAACCTTTTTTTCAGATTGTCATTCTTTAAAAAAAAAAAATAATAATCATCCACCTTTCTGCATGTAATGCAAGTTTAAGATATATCAAAAATGGCACAATATGAACATCATTAAGCCATACAACCACATCAAAGGTAAGAAACAATACTAGTTTTGTAAAGTTTTGTCCTATACAAATGCACTATACATCAAAAATAAAAGTGTAAATACATAATGATATGACATTACTGTGAATAAACAGACTAAGAAAATAATGTAATTATTTCATATACAGTTTAAGTCAGAATTATTAGCCCCCCTGTTTATTTTTTTTCCCCAATTTCTTTAACGGAGATCAGTTTTTTTTTCAACACATTTCTAAACACAATAGTTTTAATAACTCATTTCTAATAACTGATTTATTTTATCTTTGTCATGATGACAGTAAATAATATTTTACTAGATATTTTTCAAGATACTTCTATACAGCTTAAAGTGACATTTAAAGGCTTAGACAGGTTAAGGTTAACTAAGCAGGTTAGGGTAAATAGGTAAGTTATTGTATAACGATGGTTTGTTCTGTAGACTATCGAAAAAAGTATAGCTTAAAGGGGCTAATAATTTTGTCCTTAAAATTGGAATTAAAAAATTATTAACTGCTTTTATTTAAGCTGAAATAAAACAAATGAGATTTTCTCCAGAAGAAAAAACATTTATCAGACATACTGTGAAAATGTCCTTGCTCTGTTAAACATTATTTGGGAAATATTTTTAAAAAAGAAAAAAAAATTCAAAGGGGCTAATATTTCTGACTTCAACTGTAGTTCAACTCAACACGCCTGGTAAAATAATTGCTAAATGTGATTTAAAAATTCTTTATCTAACATAATAATGTCCATTTAAGTATATTTTAGAGGCAGGTTTGTAACTGATTTTCTTCTGAGTCATACAACAAAAAGGACAAAAAGAATACATTATTTAGTACGCTTCAAAAACTGGATATTTTTATTTTCCTTCAAAATTTATATATACATATATTTTTTTACCCTGGTCACATCTGAGAACTGCGAGTTTAGGGATACTGATAGCGTTGTCATTACCTTGTAATGGGATAATGCTGTTTGTGGCTTGATTTTCGATATCCTGTGCGGACCAGGCGTTCATCGCTGCTTCTGCCAAAGCAAACTGTTCTGCCACACCTGAAGAAAAAAAAATGTTCACAGATACTCAAGAGTAGCGGAAAAAAATATGTAATTGTATGTAAGAAATATCATACAGAAGCAATTAAATTCAGGGAAATCACCAAAGATTTATTTCACATTTGTCTTTCTGCCAAAAACAGAAATCCTTCAGCATGAGTTCAAATTCATCACATTTTTACCATGGTGAAGAAAACATTAATGGATGAGTGGTTACTAGTGTGATTGCGAGGTGGCTTTTACTGGCCCAGAAGCCCACTTCTAATAACACTGTCATTTTCTAAGTGCTAAAATCAGGCCTGTTTGTTCAGACAACCTAGTCAATATCCTGCATTAGTTGTCATAGTACTGACTAGAGCGCCAAAATGTCACCAAGAGACACACAAGCAGAGCTGTTAGTGTGGAAAATCCTCTCTCTCTTCATGTCCTTCATAACACTTTGCTGCAGGGCAGAACTTGTGAGGGGAATTCAACCAAATAAGTGAGGTATTAGCATATTTATATATGTATGCAGTTCTGAAATTTAACAGAGAGTTACTTTTTAGGGCTACAACTTGTGATTATTTTGATAATCGAGTAATATTTGTAATAATTGTATACCAAATCTGACCGAAGACTATGTCAGATAGTTTGGACTGCTGGGTGAATCACTGGCACAACTCTCCCTACTCTCCAAGAACTGTATCGAGGGAGCAAAATGGTTGGCAAAATCACTCTGGACCCTCACATCAAGCACACTCCCTCTTTGAACTTCTACCGTCTGCTCAAGGCTACAGAGCACTGTGCATCTGAACAGCCAAACACAAGAACAGATTCTTACCTCAGGCAATCAATCTCATGAACACTTAAAATGATTGTGGAACAACAACACTATTTTTAGACACTTATTTCCTTATAGTAACATACTCGGTTTACATTTCAGTTTGCACATAATGTAATGTAGCTATATAAACTATATTGTGTAATATGTAACAATTTACTCGAGTGGGTGTTCATAAGGCATGCCTGCTTATATCAACTGTCGTTAAGTGTCAATTACTCATTTATGACATTTTAAATGCAAAGATGGCATAGATTGTTATGACAACTTGACATGAACAAATATGCCACAACCTGTTTTTATCTTTGTCATGACAACTTAACTTTACCAGGACAATAAAACTTGTCATAAATATGTCATAAACATGAATGTCATGAAGCCATTATAAATATGTCATAAATTTTTTATTTTTGTCATTGAGATTTTTTTTACCTTAACTCATTCATTCATTAATTTTCTTTTCGGCTTAGTCCCTTTATTAATCTGGGGTCGCCACAGCAGATTGAACCACCAACTTATCCAGCATATGTTATACGCAGCGGATGCCCTTCCAGCTGCAACCCATCACTGGAAAACACCCATACACTCTCATTTACCCACATGGAATAATTTACCTTGCCCAATTCACCGATACCACATGTTTTTGGACTTGTGGGGGAAACTGGAGCACCCGGAGGAAACATGAAAACTACACACAGTAATGCCAACTGACTCAGCCAGGGCTCGAACCAGTGACCTTCTTGCTGTGAGGTGAATGTGCTACCAATTGCACCACAATGCTGCCCTTTGACTTGCAACTACAGCTGCTAAATTCATTCATTTTCTTTTCGGCTTAGTACCATTATTAGTCTGGAGTCGCCACAGCAGAATGAACCGCCAACTAATCTAGCATATGTTTTATGCAGCAAATGCCCTTCCAGCTTCAACCCATCTTTGGGAAAATAACTGCTAAATTTGTCATTAAAACAAAACAAACAAACAATGTCATTTTGCATTTAAAATAGAACAACACACTACAAACAACAAAACCCAGAGGATTCCTTGGGTGGAAATCATTTAAATTAAGGTGTCTCTTACACATTCTTTCCTGGATCAAAAAAGGGACTATAATTAAGGCATTTGAGGGAGCTCAAAAAGAGAATAAAGGCTCTTTCACAATGAGCGAGACGCAATAAAGCAAGACGAATTGACAAACTGCTTTCACACTACTGATTGCATATGCAAAATTCATGCCTGCATGACAGGTGCCGCTGACCATTTCTTGGCAGTTTGCCCACTACAACAGTCTGAAATCATTTTCTTTTTTACTTGCATATGCATCTAGTCATTTTTTTCATTTGGCTTTAACCTTATTATTTGCACAATACACAATCACAAATTAAGATTTTGATACTACACCAGAAACTGTCTATAATGCTTACAACTTATCCATTGTAAATGATTCATTATGACTTGACGAATTGTTAATCTTACAATTGAGTCCCACATCACTTATTTTTCTTGTTTTTGTAGTTCACTTTCATGAGAACACTCTCTGCTCTCAGACACCATAGATAACAAACAATTAATAATTGAGGTGCATTCCTTACTGGATATATCGCCCTCCAAAGGGAACTTTGGCGTGAAAAGCATCATGGCCGTCCAATTGGAGTCCCCAAAATTGGGCACTTCAAAGGACCCTTTAAAATGAAGTATTTTGAAGAATACAAATGATGGACACTTCCAGGCCTTTGAAGGGTTTACACTCCATAGTGACAGTTTCAGAGGAGTTAGGGCATAGGGATGAGCCCTTCCTAATGGAAAACACTGTTCGATACCAAACAACTTCCCTTTGCAAAGTATCATGGAGGCCTGAAGTTATATCAAAAGCTCGCATTCGGAAAGGCCCTTTGAAGTTGACAGCTTTGAGTACATTGGTTTGGAACAACACTTAAATATGACGACCATAATGGTTTTCACATGAAGTGTGTTCTCAGATTGATATATGCCATTTGGAAAACACAGAAAATCTTGTTGGTGTTCAAAACAGCTTTATGTGCTATAGCACCACAGATTTACGCCTTTTGTGCAAGCTCATCAACTCTAAACACATAATATAAAGCTCAGATCTTACTAGGTGTCCCATTTATAAAAAAAAAAAAGTAGCAAACAAGAAACAAAAAATTTCACTATTTCATTCCATGAATAGCTCCAATGGGATATATTGGTTTAATGTACACTCCCTGACAAAATCTTGTTGTCGGCCCCAGTTGTAAGAGCAACAAATAATAACTTTTAGTTGATCATTTGGAAAAGTGTCAGAATGTAGATTTTTCAGATGAATCATCTGCTGAACTGCATCTTAAACATCACAAATACAGCAGAAGACCTACTGGTAGCCACATGGACCCAAGATTCTCACAGATATCAGTCAAGTTTGGTAAAGGAAAAAACAAGGTTTAGGGTTACATTTAGTAAAAGGGCATGCAAGAGATCTGCAGACTTCATGGCAACATCAACAGCCTAAGTCCAGCCAGTCACCATGAAGGAGGAGGCATTGAAGATGAATCCAAAGAAGGACTCGAAGTCCTACAAGAATGCTTTCTTTGCCATTCCAGATGACTTTATTCATAAGTTATTTGAGTCATTGCAGAAATGTATGGATGCAGTCCTCCAAGCTCATTGGAGTCATACATAATATTCATTCTTTTTCCACTGCACCATGACTTTATATTCTCTACCATACATTATTTCTAAGCAAAGTCAGACCTTACCGTCCTAATTAAATCATTTAAAAAATCAAGGCATGATCATATTTTATTTTGGTAAAATAAGCATAAATAGAGAGGCCTTTGCCTTTCATATAAGTCACTTCTGGTACCAAATGATTGAGTCAAGTTATTATTTGTTGTTCCTAAAACTTGGATAGGTGACAAGACTTTTGTCAGGTAGTGTAGAAGTGTTAAGAGGCCCCAGGGAGTAGACTTTGTCACTTTGCAGATTTTTTTTTGAAAGTGTAAAAAGCACAACGTCATCCCTTTAGGTAGATAAACAGTCTCACCCGCAGCAAATCGGGCCTCTTTAATTTCATCGGTGAGGTGGGAGTAGAGCTGCTCGTCCTCCTGCAGCGTGGCTCCTGTAGATCCCCAGCCTACACCATCTCTACTCCAGCCGCACCAGCCTCCTCCAGACGTGGCCTCTCCTCCCCAGCTCTTCCACTCAATCAGGTGGGCGACGCGGCCCTGGGCCATCGCAGTCGGCTTAGTGATGTGGTCTTTAATAGTGGCCAGCAGCCCTAAAGAGATCGAAGGGATTAGCATGGGCGCAAATCTGATGAAATGAAAAGAAATGAAAAGAAAGAGAGGAGGTGAAGAGGTAAAGCTAAGAAGGCGGAAAAGAGAGAACGGAAGAATCACACAAGAGAAGTAGAAAATTTTGGATTAGCTTTTTAGGGATTAGTGTCTAAAAGCAGGGACTTTGAATGCACTAAACATTCACTCAAAAATTACTTTTGCTGCTTGTTTCAACTACTTATTTAAAATGAGTTGAAACAACACCATTCTTAAGGCTTTTTTGGGACAACCTAATTGTTTTATGTTCAATCAACTTAAATATATAAAAACTATTAAGTTAATTTAACAATTTGGGTCAACATGAAAGAATTGTGTGGAACCCTGCCTTTTTTACAGTGTTGATGTCCTCTTTTATCCTTTTATCAATACCACTTCTTCTGTTTTGGGAAATGTTTTATATGTGAGGTGTTATTTAACAGTAATCCAACCCAGCCTGACATGTAGCTAGTTATAAACTGTATCCTTCCACTTGTTTGCCCTGTAACACATCAGAGGTCTTGAGATTCCCAGTTGTATCCATTAGAGGTGTTGCAATGTACCAGTAGAGGCAATCTAAAAATAAATACACATACTGTAATATGACACATAAATAATCCAGCAATAGTGCCATTTTGGACCCCTAAGCTCTCACATGTAATTTGTTTCATTTATACCCAATGCCAGAGGGTACATTCATAGAGAAAGTCTATAACCCAGACACAAGGTAGTAATATAACTTATGATCTTAGTATATTCATGAAGCTATTACTAAAGCTGAATATAATTGTTTTGACTGGTGAAATGTGGATAGATTTAACAAGCAACTTTAAAATTTGTTTTTTTAAGCATCTCTGGAATTTTTATAAGCATGATGTATGCAATGCTAAGTAGCTTAGCCTTTATCAATGTAAATAATCTTGTAAAATAATATTACTACATCATTCATAAAAAACATCAGTTCAAAGAAGCAAGCTATTTCAAATACAATATTAAATATAATATTTTTGTTGTATTCTGATGCTCTAGTAAGCTTAGAAATTTTATTTTTGTATCCATTTCATTGAGCAAAAAAAAAAAAATTTAAGATAAATTCAATTGATAACATTACTTTGCTTTATTTACATACAATTTAAAATATATAAAATAAAGTATTTACATTTTAGAAACTTAATTAAGTTAAATTCAGTTTTATTCCTGTCTAAATTTAATGAATGAATGGACATTTAATATATATTTTTTATAATTTTTTACAGTTATTTTATTGTTATTAAGTATATTTGATTGTATTTTTACTATTAGAGCCATAAAGAGCACTAAGAAATGTCTAATATTTTCTAGAATATATTATTTTATTGAGAAATATAGTCATTGTTATTTGATACAGCATTTGATTTGCATATTTTGAGATACTATATTACGTACATGATGTTTCATATGATAACTAATGTCACACGACGATATATGATAACTAATGTCTTTTTGTCGTTCTTCGAAATCAAATTAATTTAACACATCTTGGTATTCTAGTTGTTACTACAAACTATATTCTTAAAATATGCATTACACATAAAGGTTCCTTAATAAACACATGTACATTTTGATGTGGACATTTTCAATCCCGTTTCCCATTCTGGCATAGCATACGTTTTTTGTTTATTCACTTATTTCATTCTTACTTAACAATCTTTGTAACAGATTACAATTTTATGTGAATTACTGTTCATATGCTTTAAATAAATAAATATTAAAACATCTAAATAAAAATATAATCTACATAAAAACTAAACATCACTTAATAGAACTTTAAATAAGAGTTTAATATAAACCATCTCATTTAAGCATCTGGGGTGCGTTTCCCAAACAACGATATAACTCTTGGCTGAACTATCATAGTACTATGCATTGTTTGGGAAAAGAACGAAGCAGTGACGAGTGTTTCCCAAAACAGTAGCTGCTTTGGCGCAGATCCATCATTTGAACCATGTTAGTTATAACATAAAACGTTCACAATGACCCTCTATACGGGGTGGAATAACAACTTCTTTAGAGAAAACCCCCATAGTTTTTGGTGCAATTTCTATTAATTTACACGCACACGCACTTAAAAAAAAAATCCATTACTAGTTTTGATAAAAACGCACCCATTTTCCATATTAGTTTAAATATATGTAAATGTAACATACTGTATAGGGCCAATGTTTCCTTTACAAATATTATTGAGAATATACCACATAAAACCACTTAGCTAACACGTATTCTAATCTCATAGCCTTTATAAATCATTTAAATCGTTAACGTTTGTATGCATAATTTACAGTTTATTAAGAAAAATAAAAAAGTAAGAAATGAAGATCATTATTATTATTATTATTATTAAGTAGGATTTTGTTTATTTACTTTTTTAAGTCTACTTTTACAATTTTACTCATTCAAATCACAGCAGAAATGTTCTAGACAATTCTATAGAATACAAAAAAAAACATGTTTTATAGAATTATCTGTTGTGTGTTGTCTTAGACCCGACTCATGGCCGAGAATTAGGTTTAAGTCTGTCCTCCCTAATTCATCATCCCTCTTTTTAGCTTTAGGGAAAAAAATCTATCAGGAGGCATGCTTGGTCTAAATAAGATCACCATCATATTATTTAAATTTTGGGGCCCACCTGGGCTAGCCAGTATTATAATTTATGATAATACTTTACAATTAAGTACAGCAGTTTTCTATATACATGCAACATATATTGAAAAAATTATGTAACTCTGTTTGATAGGGTATACCCTATATTTATGAGGTCCAAGAAATATTAGCGGGTTTTGATGAATAGGCTACTTTAGGATAATACTTTACATTTAAATACAGCAGTTTTTTTTTAACTTTTTAAGAACAGTTTTATTTGTTATTATATAACATTATTTATTTATTTATTTTTTACCTGTAAGTATGATATTGTTCAAACTATTTATCATGTTTAAAGTGGATGACAATAATAAATATTCATAATAATAGGAATTAATCTGCCAGGTTTGTGAACTGTGCAGAGCTGTAGGCACTTAATTAGGCCTACTATGTGTTTCAATACAAGTCATTATGGTGATACTTGGAAGAGACAATTTTTACTGAGGTGGTACTTGGTGAAAAAGGCCCATGTCATATAGGCCTACAGTAGAGATATATTTTTTAATAAATAACCTACTATAAATTAAAAGCATTAAGATATTCTGTATATTTTTTGTTTCACAAACCTTGGAAAAGTAACGTAAATTCCACTTTTAAATAATAGGTCACCAATAGCTTTTGTCATTAGTCAAAGCTTCGTTCAAAATGCCATAAATGTTTTCAAAGTGCACTAGGAAGGGAGCAATTGTCAACATGAAGGTCACTAAAATTGAACAGTAAAAATACTTTATAAGCAAATTACACCTAAGAGTGATGACTTTAATGCTTTTTTTAAATCATTCTAAGATTAAATGTTAGAATGTTCTAAATGAATAGGGCACAGGGGGGGTAACTTGGAATAGAACATAGCCAGGAACTATGCTTCTAACTGCAGCTCTAGAGGTGTAGTTGCAAGTGTACACGTTTGTGGCGCAGTTTTCGAATGTTGGTTGGAACGATGGATTTGGAAAACGCCTAATCAATAAACTATGTTTGTAACGACAGACCTTGTGCCCTTAGTTGGCTAATGATGGTTAGTTTGTCAGTTAGTTAGTTAGTTAGTTAGTTAGTTAGTTAGTTAGTTAGTTAGTTAGTTAGTTAGTTTGTTAGTTAGTTAGTGGATGTTTTATAGCCACATCAGCTACTTATGTCTTTTTAATTGCAAGATCAATATAGATAAAAACATATTACATAATAATATTAACAACTTCATTCATCAATAAGAAAAAATACAAAAACACTTCAAATTTTACATGAAACCCATTCATCCTCATGTTAGAAATGACCATTTTTGTATGTTAAGTACCTCCTTTTCAGGCTTCCCAATGCACTAGTGGAAAAACATACTTCAAACTATAATTATCCTGCAAGTCCTCACAAACCTATTATTGAATGATTTGCATTTCCCATGACATCTGTTTTATAAATTAATCTTTCTAACAGCAGTTTTATTTCCTTCCAAGCAGTCCTTTCAGTCGATCAGAGACATTTGTGCGTCTTTCTGGCTCATTATACATATTCATCAGCAGGCGACTGCATTAGCAATTAAACTGAAATGATCAAAAATATTTCTAAGGAAAAGCTTAAAAACCCATAACACATTATTAGTCTGCGTAATTAACTTCCAGAGAAGAGTGGGCCTGGAGAAATCAAGAAAAAAATGTTCAAATAAAAAGGCAGAAAGGAAAACAGGTGGCTAAAGAGGCACTAGAGGAGAAAAGAGAGAGAAAGTCTTCATAAATGAGGGATACTGTATGCAGGCAGAGGGAAATTGCATTAGCAAGCTTCTATAAAGGTCGACTGCTCTCCTGATGCAGATGAATGATAGTAAGCAATAACTTAAACAGCACACAGTGTGACGGTGTCTAACATGCGCTCTTCGCTCTTCACTCACCCAGCAGGGAAGATGTAGCCAGTTCTCCAATGTCATAGCCGCCGCTGCCACTTTTATCTGACACGCTGCCATTGCAGGGCTGATGGTTACCCTGAATAACGTGACAAGACAACACAGCTTAACATACCAAATAAAGCCCTTCAGAAAAATCACTTTTGCAAGCAACACAGTGAATCACAGGTGCAAATTTCACCTAACAAGACACTTTTAACAGATCTTGCACATTCAGGGTGCGAAACAACTACCACGTATAAGGGCTGAGTGAAATCTGCTTGATTTTTTTTTCCTTAGGGTATCTCATTTATTTATTTATTCGAGTTCAGTTTTTGTTTCTTTTTTACTTTTTGAGTTTTTCAGGACTTCATTTTAATGGTTAATTCAACTGGTAATCAGACAAGTTTGTCTAATTATTTGAAATCATGAAATTAATTATATAGTCTACTTTTGTGCCTGTATACAATTTTACGTCTTGTAATGGTATACATACAATTGAAATCCATAATAAATACAGCAATTACATTTTAAATAGGGATGTCCAGATCCGATCATGTGATCGGAAATCAGGCCCGATCATGCGGTTTCAGACTCGATCGGGATCAGATGTTGCCTTCCGATTAGGACTAGAATGTATATTTATATTTATACAGTATATGTACTCATTATTTCATAACACATCAATAGATATGCGGCAGCAAAGAGTTAGACCTCTTTTTTGACTTCACACAGAAACAGCAACGTACGCGGAATGACATCACTGTAGCAGAGACGCTATTGTTTAAATGCTGGCTAAGTAGAAAACGGAAGCATCTTGTAGCAAAAAGTGTGAGTATGTCTGTGGTCTGGAGGTATAATAAAGTTGATGACGACAACACTGCCATAGCAAACTGTGAGATATGTAAACTTGGGATTGCCTGGCATGTATTTTAA